AGTGAGTACAGCAGAGGATGATTTACCTTTGTATACGGTGTACTGCATTCTGTTAGAGAAGTAGGAATGCAGCCAGTTAGTGACCCAGGACTCGGTTTTTGTCAAAGAGAGCTTATTTAGCAGGAGACATCTAGGAACAGAGTCGAAAGCAGAAGTGAAGTCAAGAAACGTGCAGCGGACGTATTTGGCACCTTTATCTAATGATGAGACGATGTTGTTGTGTAAGACAGCTGCAGCATCTAAAGTGCTCCTACCCTGTCTATAGGCAAATTGTTTGGGGTCTTCGAAGTTTTTAAGGGAGGGTTCAAGTTTAAGAAGTATTAGTTTTTCCATAAGCTTTAGAAACGGGGAAGTGATGGCAATGGGTTTGAACTTTACGTTCTTGCCGTTTCCAGTTTTAGGGACAGGGACAATTTTGATGTCTTTCCATGCGTCAGGTACGATATTTTTGGAGAAAGAAGCATTTAGGATGTTCGTTAGTGGAGAACACAACGCATCTGCACATTGTTTTAGAACATATGCAGGTATACCATCAGGGCCAAGGCTACGTGAGGGCTTGAGCATTTTAAGACATTTTAGAACATCGAGAGTATTAAAGTCATGAAAGTTTTCAGGTACATGATAGGTAGCATTAGAAGTAGTTAAAGTAGAAGGACAGCGTATAAAAGACTGATTAAGAGCATTAACATCATAAGAGGGAAAAATATTACAACGCTTACTATTGCCAGTAATTTCATTAAAAAGTTTCCACATGCTGATAGGAGATTTGCAAGATAAAAGTGTATCATTATAGATAGCATTAAGATTTTTGATCTCAGATTTGATTAGAGCATTAATCTTCTTCTAAATGCCTTATTCTAATTATTATTTATTTTATTTTGATTACAGTTTGATGCCACACCGTATTTTCAGTACAAGTATGGAACTTTCAGCATGGATATCGGTAGCCCAAATTTCGCAGGCCGACCATAGATATCGGGTGTGTGTCGGCAGGGGATCGAACCCCGGACCATGTGCATGGTCGGCGAGAGTCCTAACCACTGTGCCACCGACGCACAAGTCTGAGGTCAAATTTTGATCACAGTTCGTACAATTCTGTTTATTACAACATTTTGACGCCTGTTTCATGACTCATATTGTAACAACAGAAGACAAGGGCCAGGCAACAGAACCTTTATTACGGAAAATCAACACGTATTTATAGATTTTGATGTACATTATTGTAGGTTAATGTTAGTAGAAAATACAGTCTGTTGATTGGTTGTTTCTCACACAAAGTTAACCTTGCATGTCTTGTGGCTGTGTCAGTTCATCTGTATGTTAACTGTATCCGCCTGTCCATCTTGACCTTGTTTTCACAGGACTAACATTGACCTCAATTACTGCCAACCAATTTGGCTAGCAACCATCTCTCACCACAATATGATTAAACAAGGTTTTTAAAGACAAGATTTATCCTTTCGTATATATATACCTTTTAATTTTGATTAATTTCCTTGAAGAAGTTCGGACCAGTTTTCATTGTGGATAAAATTTATTTTGATAAAGTCTCACAGTGTTATACAGTAATATTTACTGATGATGACGTTTCTAGCACAAATTATTGCTATTATCACAATCATATCAAGGCAGTCACACAACTTCCTGGCTTCATTTATATTCATCAGTAAATATTACTGTATAACAACACTGTGTAATTTTATCAAAATAAAATTTTTTCCGCAATGCAGTTGGAATTACTCATTTCGAATTCGTTGAGATCTTACAAGTCAGATATTCTCTGTTACAAAACTGCCTTCGTTTATCTGTCTGTTTTCAACATAGAACTTTGCACCGATGTGCAGCAGTCCAAGTCGCCACACTCCCTTCATGTAGCACACAAAGCAAGAGAAGAAATGCAAAATAGAGACAGTAAACAGGGATATGAGACAAAAGGAATAGTAATAATGAAGAACAATATAGTTTCATTGGGTATTATAAGTCACAAGGAGTGGATGCATCTGCGCCAGCCATTGAGAACGATTTTGAGCACATATCACCGATTGTCTCCAGCCATTGGTGTTTACCGTCCCGAGGACCCCAATCAGGAAGTCTACACCTTCCTACGTGACTGGCTTAAACTAACTGTTGCGGATTTCATTGACTGGTGCCACGTTTTGGTTTGACCGCCGCTAGCTTTCTTCCAGCCTGACCCTATGTCAGCTAACATTGCCTGTCGAGGAAGGCGATGGCTAGGCATACGTAAAACATGTCCTAACCATCTCAGTCGATGTAACTTCACAGCCTCGTCGATTAATTTCCCCTCCTTACCTAGCACTCGACGCCTAACCTCATTATTGCTTACGCCATTATTCAACTTTACACGGGAGACAGAACGACCTTCGTTTATACATAGCATATGCCCTTATTGCTTGCCTGAAGAACATTTTCTTTGTTCAGTTGGTCTGTATTTTAAAAAAACCAAAACAACACGCCTAAGGATCATTTTCAGGAACACTACATCTTAATTACACAGTCCTAGTAGATGTTTATATTTGACACAAGTCAAGAAGATAAAAACTAAGATACTGTCCTGTGACACTTGTCTGGAGGTTGAGCTAAATACTTATCACGAATAAACAGAAGTCAGAATGCATGGGTGATAGGACCCAACATAACGTAGTATATCATCCTTTCTCACGAACTGTGTGATTTATCTTGTGATGGAGTTGCCATGTGAATGTATCATCTCTCACGCATATTATGATTTAGTGCGTTACACCAACTCGTCATCTTTTGTCTCACCTTGGTTTTTGTCGGATCGCCAACCAATGAGAATAACCATTTCCAGCCAATAAGAACAATCCATTCTCACGGTTGTGAACCGACTTTGACGAAGTTCAACAATAGCGTCCCAGGAGTGTGAACGCTCCATTGACCCTGAACGCATGCTAGTCGTTGGCTAACGGCACCTGTCATTATCATAGTTGAAATATCAACGCTATTCAACAACTAAGGAGCAAATTTCACCCAGATTACGTTCTCAAGGACTGCTGGGACAATGGGTTAATAGCTCGTTAGGGTTAAGGTAATTAGTGGGTTAGGATCAGGGCCATTATTAGCATTACGGTTAGGATAAGGGTTGTAATTAGGGTTAGGAACAGGATAAAGGTTAGGGTTACGACTAGGGATAGATTAACAGTTGATGTCATTTATTTTAATTCGGTTTCTTATCCACATTTCCCTCGTAAGTATTCGTCGATCCTCTACTGGAAACGACAGTAATTCATCCGAGGGCTTTTGGGGAACACTGCACAACGGGATAAGAGAGATAAACAATTCACAAAAACAGCTCATCTTCAGTCACCTCGGTGAATACATGTACAGAAACTAGTCTAACTTAGCAACTGATACTCCTTATTATAACTGGGACGTATTTTTAAGTCATGTAAGAGAAAGATACCCTGTTTAATGTGTTTTCATGCATTTTCTTGTAAATATACGTCATTTTTTATGCAAAAGTCATTTATTTTTAAGATTGGTCGGCTGAAGGTTACTCGTGCGTTCGCATCCCTTGGGACGCTATTGTTGAACTTTGCCCCGACTTTATTATGGTAAAGAAAATGTATAAATACCATGTGTTGTTTCCTAAAATATATAGCACAATACAATATCTTACAGTCACAGGCCAGCCTTTGTCTTTTGATATTTACGTGGCTCAGTGAATCAGAAGGTACAACGGACAAATAGATAGACGTATTAGCGTACCAATCGAGTTCATTACCGTGAAAGTAATTAACAGGCGCAGACATAACAAACTAGCGACAATGGGCTGGCTATTGAGTCAGGTTGCAGTAACTGAATGGTCTACAAGCTCGCTTCATACCCGGAAGGTCCTAGACTCGAACCCTAGCAGAAGGTGCATACTGACGAAAGCTGAAAAAACTATAAAACAGGAGGAAGGCCTTTAGGGATAACGCATGCCTTGATGCTTGGAACAACATACATGCGATTATCATTCATCGGGTGGTGCAGGTACATACATCCACAGCTGACGATAAAACACTATTACATTGTAAACTGTAACTTCAATGAACATATAAAAACGCCTATTAGCCTATTCCGACTAAATATAAGCAGGCATAGACTATCGAGAAGACAGGGATATCCTGGACCGACGTGAAGAACCTAGAAGACCTGGATTTCGCGCGTGGATGATTTATGTTTGATGTCACACAAAATCGAAGACTTACAAGCGAAAACTGACAAACTGGTCGAAGAAGAAGAGAAGACAGGACTCCAGGTGAACATAGACAAGACGGAGGTTATGAATATAACCAACCAACAACAACAACAGCATCAGCAACATCCAGTGCCAATCACCATCAACGGGAGGGATTTGAAAGAGGTTACTTCATTCACTTACTTATCTAGGGAGCATTGTCTCAACTACAGGAGGAACGGACGAGGATGTCAAATCGAGAATCGGGAAGGCGAGAAACACATTCATCAACCTGAAACCAATCTGGAAATCTTTGTCACTCAGCGTCAACAACAAAATTCGGATTTTCAATACAAACGTCAAGTCAGTTTTGCTATACGGATCAGAAACTTGGCGGGTCACAAAGAATATTTCCAACAGCCTGTTGCAGACCTTTATCAACAGCTGTCTTCGTTCTATACTGAAGATCAGATGGCCGGAAAGAATCACCAACAAGAAACTATGGGAACAAACAAACGAAACAAGAACCAATCGCTCAACAAATATGCAGGAGAAAGTGGAGATGGATTGGACACTCACTGGCTGAGGAGGCCACTGGGTGACATCGCGCGTCAGGCCAATGCTCGAGTGGAACCCGAAAGGGAAGTGGCGAGTGGGACGTCGGTGCAAGGGTGACATGGAGGAGATCGTGTGAAGAAGAGTTGAAACAGTATGGACTAACATGGATGCAAGTGAAAAGTACAGCAGAAGACAGAAGCAAGTGGAGACGTGCAGTTGAAGCTCTATGTTCCACTAGGAACCCAAGGGAACAATAATAATATAATAATAATGGACATCATTGTCCAAGGTGGAGGGGGGGGAAATCTGTTTTCAGCAGCCAACATGTGAACAGAGACCGAGCATAATCAACATCAACTCTTGACATCAATGAGTAATAATTCTCCCTTCTTGAAATTGAGATTATTTCATTCAATAACACTGTTAGTACAAATCGAATATATAATTACAAAAGTTAAACGAATGTCTGTATGCATGTATGTATGTGTGAAGAAACCATTTGAATCAAAATAGTATAAACCCAAGAAATTAAGAAATATACAGAAACAAAAAATAACAAAACGGGGTGGGGAGGGGAAGATAACAAATCAAAAACAAGAAACTAGAAAATAAACAAAATGGTCGCCTTTAAGAATATATATATGCTTGTATATATATAAATGCTTGATAGCGAAAATGCTCTTCGTTTTTGCTTTTTTTTCAAAAACTTTTGTTTTAATCATCATATATTCAGGTAAGAAAGAACCCACACTATACGCATATTGACTGACTGATTAAATAAAAAATAAGGCTGAGGAACCAAAAAACAAAAGAAAAAACGAAAAGTATCAACATTCGTAACAAAACTAGAAATCTATACCCGGTATCAGGGTTTTCGGTAGATCGTCTAAGATTTCAATAGCATTCGATGGTTGATTAAGCTCTGCTGTCAGAAACATACAATCATCAGTGATTGAATGGGAACCGCTCCGTTGTTGCTGTTCATCTTCTTCGTCATTGGCCTCGGCTTTTACGCGTGACTTGTACCGTGATATAAATTCACGTGCTAAACGAGTCACAGGTTCATCAATATACGGATCACTGGGGTTAAATGTACGCAGAGGAGATGAGGAATAGGCTAGAATATTTGACGAAGGAGTAGTAGTGGGCTGACTAAGTGGTCTAGGCATACGATGTTCACCGTCATCATCATAATCAGTGACTGGATCAGATGCAATATTATGAAAAGTCAATGGATTATGTTGGGCTAAACGCTTCAAAGTGTCCGAGGCGAGATTGCCACGGTCGAGAAGACAAAAACATCCGTATTGTTGATCATCATATAGGGTTCTTTTCAGTCGAGGCAGTGGAACACGTTTACAGACAATTAGATGATTTAGATTTGGCTTCTTTTCTAACCGACTCAATAAACCCCAACGTTTAGCATGTTTTTGTACAATTGGCCATAGATTGATTGGAACAATATGAGAAGAGATGAGGACGGGAGATACTAATGCTGAAGCAGCATAGGCTTGAAGATAATTTTCGATTACAGTAGATGAAGTGAATCGACCATTGTTGTGGACTTCACCATTTTGATATCTGTTATCGGGTTCTGCAGAAAGAAATAGAGCATAAATGGCATCCAGGTTAATAAATATGTTTAAGAGTAACGGTAGTCAAGTTCCATTAAATATACGTTTTTTTAGGACAGAAACCCATGATAATCATAATGGACACTCCCCAACATTTTGGATAAATGACACTAAATGAAGGGGGATAATAGCCGGTGGTTACATATAGCAATATAGATGATACGAGCTGACTTCCCATTCATGATACGAAGCCGTGTTAACTCATGAAAGTGGTAGTCAAAAATGTTATCAAAAAAGGAATCTCGTGGGGAATCTTCATGTGTGTGTTATCTCGAACAAACATGACTGAGTTCTGCTACCAATGACACAACCTACCATAGCCGATATGTCGACCATAAATTTGTTATTTATAAGGCCAAGGAGTCATATATCTGTACTATTTAACCGTCTCAATCAGATGTACCCTAATATCAAATTCATGTTAAAATATAAATATAACGATGAGTTCAATTTCCTGAACCTTAATGTAAAAAGAAGAAACGATGGTGTATTAGAAAAGCCCACTTACAGAAAGAAACCTGAACCGGACAATATCTTCATTATAACATCTATTCAACTTCAATAACATCAAGGCATTTATTGAAGCGGTTGCACAGCGAATTAGCATGTTAACAGAGAGTTAATGAAAGGAAGAACTCCGGGTGTGATTTTATTGTATAAGGATCGCTGGTGGGACCCAGTTGCCCAGATTGAAGTAGGTGGAGTAAAATCGGAATCTGGCTACATGGAAATGAAACACTTAGGACAATGAACTACCCCTCTCCGTTGTCAGTGAGATCGACTATTTCATCCGTCCAGTAAAACTGATATACGAGCTGAGTGATTGTATGTAAGTGGGACTGACTCGCGAAGAGTGGGTGGAAGGGAGAGGAACGATGATGTGTCGCGGAGTGATGAATACCAGGAAGGAAATAGAGACAGACAGATGGACAGAGAGGGGAGGAGGAGAATGAGAGTTGGTGCATTTGTTTGAATGTATGTTTTCTAGTCTTGTCTTTTGTGCGTGTGTGTTATTGTGGGTTGTTTAATGACTGCGTGTAGGATGTGTTTATAGTATTTCGTGTTTGTGTTTCTGCGTGTAGTTGTTGAAGTTGCTAAGTGGCTGGTGGGCTCGGCCGGTTGGTCGAGCAGAGTGGCGCAGTGGAAGCGTGCTGGGCCCATAACCCAGAGGTCCGTGGATCGAAACCACGCTCTGCTAACGGATTTTGGGGCTATCCTCTCATCACACACACACAAGTCCATGTGATGACAAGACAACAAATCTATCTGTCTCTCCCAATACACCTTCACGCCACTCTGGCTTGCTCATCGAGCCTACCGTGCACTGTCCCTCTGTCTCTCTCTCTCACTCGCTCTCTCCCACCTCCCTCCGAATACAACACACGTGTGTCGTCCCTTCCTTCAACCACTCGTCAGTCGGACAGACTCACTCATCGCATTGTGACACGGTGCAGTCGGTGAGTGTGCTGCTAAGCCATTTTAAGTATGTCAGTGGTTCAGAGGTAGAACGGTCGCCAACCACGCATGCGGTCTAGGGTCCGGATCCCAGCTGACGCACTCTTAAATCTCGCTTCACCGACATTAAAAGCCCAGTAAAGAGAGGAGGTTGGCAGTAATACTAGCCTCCATGTTCCACTCGGAACTCAAAAGAATAAAATAGCTATAAAATGAAAAATAAACTAACATTTCCTAAAAATGAATAACCATCACAAACAAACAAACAAACAACACTTACCATTACCATCAACATCATTGTTGTGAGAAGGTGAAGACAAATCTGGAATATCACAGTGAGCTTCTAATTGTTCAAAATGTATTGGACAGTTGAGTTCTTCTTTTCCCCACATAAGTGTTTCAACCATAAGATATTCTGGTATACCCCAAAGAGGTAGAACGGCATCTTCAAATCCCTCTATACATACATGATATGATTATAAATTGACAAAAAATTAGTGCAACATAAATCACAAAAAGAAAAAAACACAACAACACTTGATCAATAAATTTAAAAAAATTAAAATAAGGCACTTTCCGTACTGTTGAATTCTTCGGCGTGATTCATGTTTGATAGACAGATGAAAAGTTATTTAACAGTTGGAATAATACGCCGCAACCACTATCATCATCATAACCCAGTTGAACAATATGTAATACTTACCAAAAATAGTCGACAGTTGAAATTGTTGGTGATAATAGTAATAAGATGCATGGACACCATCAAACGAACTATAATAAACAACAGATTCAAAGAAATTGGACACTAGGTAGGTAACTAATGTAATGCATCTAGTCTGACTGTAGCAGCACTGGTTGACTTAGGTTCGAATCACAGTAGGGAAATGAACTTCTCTTCAAGATTACAGATATATGCCTTACTGACTAGTGAGGCGATAATAATCACAAAACCTAGGTGGTTGTCTAAGACTTCCTCTTAATTGCTTGTAACTATCTAACAACAAGCTAGTCCCCGTTTGGTTAATTAGTGTGTACATGGTTGGGGGGATTTTTTGTTGTCGATTCGTTCCAACTAATTTATATGGATATATCATATACAGGAATCCGAGAAAGACATAAGGCGATAACTAATAATGATCATAAAATGGACAGACAGACAAAAACAGAGACATTTCTCGAACAGGTTAAAAAGATGACCCTTAAGACGATAGTTCTTCATAGGAGGAAAAATATGAGTAGCAGAAACGAAAAGAGAAGAAAAAGAGTATGCTAAGTACAAATAATTCTGGACTGCTAACATCAGATCTTGTTTTTTCTTCGGGGGAGGGGGGGATAGTTATCTTTCAAAACCCGATGAGACATTTTGTCAACAGATACCTCATCAGAGTAATCTACTACCTTCGAAGGTGATAACTAACAGGGTGCGCTACAGAGATGAATTTTCACGAGGATATAATTATGAGCAATAAATTGTGTTTGAAACGTCATCAGTATATTAGTAATACTATACTGTGGTGAGAGCTGGCTGCTAGCCAAATTGGTAGACAGTAATTGACGTCAATGTTTATGTCCCCAATATTGGTCGTGAGAAAATATGAACAAAGACTGATTCAACAACCAACCACAGTAGACTTTGCGTAGGTGGATACAGTTAGCATATAGATGATCTGACATTCAAGAAACAACCAATCAGAAGACTATGTTGTTCTGCTAACAATTATCCATAATAATGTACATGAAAATCTATAAATATGTGTTGATTTCCTTAATAAAGGATCTGTTGCCTGGCCCTTGTCTTCTGTTGTTACACTACTACATGAACTGTCGGCTTTGTGTAGTAAAATCCCTCCATCATGAAATCAAAATCTACTACAGTCTATTCTTACATGAAATAAAAACATTCGTGGACGATGTATTAACAAGTATGCAACGTGAATACACATTTTTGGAATCGTAGTAACCCGTTCTAATCTCAAAAGAGCTTTCTCAATGAAATATGCATCACTTCGCACCTAAACCCCTTGGACAGTTCACATATACCATCGATGAATTAACATCAACAATATAACCCAATAAAATGTTGTAAGAGTCATATATATATATATATAAGTAGTATGAGAAAGACAAAGATCCAAACAGACTGACATTTCAGAGGAGAACACATAATGCGTCAGTGGCATAGTGGTTAGAACACTCGCCAACCATGCATGTGGTCTGGGGTTCGATCCCCGGCCAACACACACCTGATATCAATCAATGGTCGGCCTGCTAAATTTGGGCTACCTATATCACATGCTGAAAATTCCATACTTGTACCAAAAATACTGGGTGAAATCAAGCTATAATAGAAATTAAACGAAATATTTATTATTATTGCTTCCTTTAATTCCTAGAGGAACATAGGGCTTCAGCCGTGCGTCTCCATTGCGTTCGGTTCTCTGCTAGAGTCTTCACCTGGCTCCAAGTCTGTCCACACGTTTTCATCTCCTCTTCACATGACCTCCTCCAAGTCACCCACCCTTGCACTGACGACCAACTCGCCGCTTCCCTTTCGGGTTCCACTCGAGGGCTTGTCTAGTGATGTCACTTGATGGTTTCCTCAGAGTATGGCCAGCCAATCCATCTCCATTTCTTCCTGCCTATTTATTTCACAATCGGTTCCTGCTGAGTTGGTTCGCTCATTGCCAGAGATCCCTCTCTGTTGCTGATCTTTTCTGGCCGGCCATCTGATCTTGAGTATTGAGCGAAGACAACTGTAAATGAAGGTCTGTAGTTTGTTTGAGGTGCTCTTCATGACGCAGCAAGTCTCTGATCCGTATAGTAATTAGCACTGACTTCACATTGGAGTTGAAAATCCGGATCTTATTTTTGATGCTGAGTGCTGTTGACCTCCACACAGACTTGAGAGTAGTGAAAGCTTGTCTTGCTTTTCCGATTCTTGCTTTGATATCCTCGTAGTTGAAACGATGCTTCCCAAAAAATCAAATGCCACTTTTCGCTAGGGAAGCCACTTGAGATGATCTAATGTAACAAGGTTGACAGTAATTTACAAGTCTACTTTCTCAGCTAGCAGCAACATGGTTCAAGGCTGTGCTCTATCATTATTTAACCAGTGAAGAAATTCCACACACACACTCACACATGTCAGACGAATTAATTTCGTGAAATAGAAAACTTCAAACATCCACACACAGAGAGAAGTGGAAGAAAGAACAACAAAATTAATGCTCAACTGAATTGTTTTTAGAAATTTTACATTTTCACATAATAAAACTTGAGTAAAATCAATCAATACTGAAAGCAAGCATTGTCCCGAATGCTGAAATAAAATCAGCATATACAGCATTGAACCTGTAGATGAATAAAATTTTCTGATTATCGCATAATCAAAACTAAAAAAAATAAAAAAACAACCACCACTATCACCACCAGGAAATAAAATGTTCAGTTTTCTATAGTTTGGTTATTAAGGGTTAGTTATGTTTTTACGAGTTGATCACGGATTGATATATCAGTTAGAGAACCATTGAAAACCAGCCACATGGAGTACTGGACAGCTGTTTCATCCTAGTTTTGGGAGTCATCGGCAGTACGCACCCACTGGGACTCGAACCCAGGACATTCCGGTCCCATTCAGCCACTGGGACCCGATTCAATGGCCAGTCGATGAATTCTAACTTCTACCAATTCGTGATTTAGCGCGACCCCAACCTCGCTAGTGACTTGCTACAGGATGGAGTTTCCTGGAGTTCTAGTGAGAAGTCGTGACCAGTGAGGTCCATCCAGTCGGGAGTGAGGATGGATGTCCCACCGATGATATTGGTTGGGGTCGCGCTAAATCACGAATTGGTAGAAGTTAGAATTCATGCACTGGCCATTGAATCGGGTCCCAGTGGCTGAATAGTATACAAACTCGTCTTGTAACTGGAATGTCCTGGGTTTGAATCCCAGTGGGTGAGTATTGCCGATGATTCCCAAAACTAGGATGAAACGGCTGTCCAATACTCCCTGTGGCTGGTTTTCAATGGTTCTCTAACTGATATCAATCCGTGATCACCTCGTAAAAAGTGTTCAGTGTCAGACAGCACACTTCGACCAAAAAGGCCAAAACAAAAACATCACTATCACAATTTTCATCATGAAAAAGATGTTATTATTGTATTCAGAGAAAGCATTCCAGGAAAATGTGAACTTAACATGACTTATCCAGTGCATGATGCCATATACTACTGATTGATTTTTTATGAGTAGTTGGTTACCGCTCACACCAACCAGTAGTGCATGATCTAAACACTACACGCCTGTTTAGCTCACCGTCGGTATGACTCAACCCGGAGAGCCGAATCAGTTCAGACGAGCTGATTTCTGGCTGGCTACTTAGGCAAACTGGTAATATGTTGAATCAAAAACTGGAATTTGCACAGTTTGGGGAGGTGTGGTCTGCTCAGTATCGTAAATAGCAATCAAACAATCATAAATACATGACGCTATTTACTGCTGGTTGATCGACTGATATAGAGTGCTTGCATACCACTCAGATCAGTCAGTAGTGCTTGTTTCTCTCAGCTAAGTGAAACAGAGCATACCACTGATGCTCTCGAGATGGGATTCCAGCTTGAATAGTGTAGACTCCAGGTGATTTAAGTATTGCTATGACATCAGTTGATGTATAGAAAGAAAAAATATGCCTGGAAATTTGTGCTAAACGACATTCTTTTTTAGTGAACGATATAGTTGAGAGATATAATTTTTACCCAGGAACAACTGTTCAGTATCTCCATTATTTTCACATTTTAGCCTCAAAGGCCAATTGATGATATAGCGCGACAGCTGTCCAGTACTCCCAGATGATGTCAGCTGATGATGAAATCCTGTAACCAATCAAATCCCTGCAAACCAACATTTAAATATAAATCCATTTGTGTTTGCTAATTTTCCGTAATCACATGTGTGAATAACCTGTGACAGGACTTTGTGATATTTGCCTGGATGAAAGGCCAATAGTACAAAGCCACCATTTGAGGGAGTAAGACTGAACGCCTCTAAGTCTGAGTCCCATCCATATTATTTTCAACAGTACAATTCCGTATTCAACACATGGCGTCGTGGCTGGGCAAGCTTACATATTCCTTTTGGTGTCCAGACAGAGATTTAGTTCATGGAGAGGGCAGTGGGGTTGGAGGGATTAAACAGCAAACCCTTACCAAGATGTTTTCAGAGTTAATACCAATTAACATGAGATGTATATATATAGAGGCCAAAAGACCTGTTTTCTCCCTCCCTCTCTCTCCATATATGACGTTGCTTCCCATTTCGTGAACTTAATCTAAACACTGTGACATGATTTGGAACGATGACGATAAGGAAGTAGTTCAACTGTGAAGATATACTTTATATCATAATCATACACCATAAACAAGTGGTCATTTACGGCTTCGAGGGATATATAGACAGGAGAGAGAGACAAAGCATAAACACTGACAGCACCCTACGTGAAGCTTCAATCACACTTTAATCATTGCCAACAGCTTATAACCAAAATAATGTAGCAGGGAGGGGGTATGCTCTCCAATGACACCGATAAACCATGAGACTCAAGTCAACAAATTACCAGAGAGAGAGAAAGTACATATAACAAAAATCAATAAATGATAACACATCACACAGAAATCACTATCAAAAAATAGGCATATATATATAGGATTGAAATAAGGCGCAATTTATACTCAATATGTATATTCAGATACTTATTCAATAGTACAATGAATAGTGAAGAAAAATTACAATTAATAATAATGATAATAATAAAAACGATAAAGTCCATTATTATTATCACTATTATTATTATTAAGAGAAAAACAACAGCTGACGATTGGCCTAGATTAACTTTACCTTCCCGTGATAAAAGCGACGATGAGGAGGATAATAAACCAACTACAGGTTGTGTTGTGCATAATTTATCCATCAGGCTACGAATTGCCAATTGTTGTGCACTTTGTAGACTTTCACCTTCAACTGTTAGACACCGTTGACTGTCTATGAGGACAGTGCATATCATTTGACCGGTGATAGTTTGTACTTCATATTCAAGATTGATTACCATTTGACTGAATTCAGCAGACTGTGCCAAAATTAATTCTGTATACATCTTTGCAAATAAAGAAAAAAGAAGAAGAGTAGAATAAAATAATGCCAACAACACAGTTAGCCTTTAAAATTTTATTAGATATAAGTAACTCAATTAATATACTGTAGAGTGTGCTACTGATAAGATTTGTACCAGTAGTATATATAGAGAGGTTTCTCGGCACACGAAAATTTCGAATAGAGGATAGGATAGATTTTCAAGTGAAAGACACGAAATGAACCAGTATTACGGCAGTAAAACATGGCAGATACAAAAAGAAGATAAAGAAACACAACACCAAAGAAGGGCAGAAGCAGTACAACACAGAAGATCTTTGTGGATAAAATTTGTTTTGATTAAGTCTCACAGTGTTATGCAGTAATACTTTTGAAACCTAGCACAATCTTTCAACTGATATGTAGTCTACAGCATATACTATCACTGTAACAGGAAAAGATAACAGACTTGGTAACGGACCTTTATTAAGAAAACATCGATCATATGTATACATTTTTTTAACCACATTAAGGTTTGACAAGGTCAGAAGAGAATAGATAGTACTGATTGGCTGGCAATTGATCGAAGGTTGTCCAATGAGGTTACTTCCTGTCCACAACGTAAACTAAATCCAGATTTGAGGAATAAACACGCCTACCTCTGCAACACAACCATTGACTTAAAATGTTGATTTTAGTTTTGGCCGCTACCTACCTATCAACTTGTATCCCAACAACATAGAGATGAGATTTTTCGAATGCTTGGAGAAGACATCTAAGCCTTTCAGTATACACATTTCGCTTGTATACAGGAAAACACTTATTTCCATAACTTTCTCCTCAGATATAACTCCAAAGAAATACTAACACACAATATTCTGCAAGATGCATAAATAAAATTTAAGCAGTGCGTCGGTGGCATAGCGGTTAGGACGCACGTCGACAATGCACATGGTTCGGGGTTCGATCCCCGGCCACAGACGCACTCCTTCACCTCGCTAAGCCAGAAATAATACTGGTGAAGAGGAAAGGTTAGGCATGAGGCTAGCAACTCCATCCTGTAAAATAAACACTGCTACAGAAACTTCAAGCCACTAGCTTGAAGCCCTATGTTCCACCGAGGAACGTGAAGGAAATTAAAAAAAGAATGGATTTAAGATCGTGCAAAATAAACAGTCGACAGCAATATGAGTTTGTGAATTTATCACTAACAAATATGAACAGAACTTCATCATGCGCTGACGTCAGTTAGAGAACCATTGGAAAACTTTTAGGGGGTACTGGACATCTGTTTGGGACTCTTCATCAGTACGCAGTCACCGGCGTTCGAACATAGGACCTTCCGGTTACAAAGTGAGCTGTCCAGTACTACCAGATGGATTTCCAATGCTTCTTTAACCGATGTCAGCTGATGATGAAATCCTGTGGCCAATCAAATCACTGCAAACCAACACTTAAATATAGACACACTGTAACAACAGAAGGCAAAACACTGAAGCCAAGGTATATTTTCAATTGATCAAACCGCTATTGATACATATAGGTACAGTTTTATATTCTTTAACCAATCACTGAGTGTGTGATTTTGGTTTACATTAAACGACATGAAATAGGAATGTTCAAATACATATATAGAGTATCCTGTTTCTAATCCAGTATTGAACTGTGGGAATATGTGAGAATAATATTCCGTTGGACACATTGTCTGTATCACACCACCACAACACTACCAGGGATGAATTGTGTGCCAGTGGATAAGGTGTAAATGCTCACCAACCGACATTCTATTCCCAGCCATGCATTTGAATCTGATACTTACCCTCCGTTGTATAGGATGAAATGGTAACACATATCGATGCAGTTAATCATTTACTCCAGTCGACACGACATATCGTGAAGAGTGAGGCCAATGTGCATCATTTATAAAACTAACTCTGCATAACGAACAACAATATTATCGGTGGAGAAATTCATACAAAAGGATATATATATATATATATATATATATATATATATCAGTGATATTGTCTCAAATTCCTGACTGTTGCAGTCGAAATTATTAGCCTAACCATTTCATTTTTATTTTAGGTGTATTTGATTTCACTTTTAAATTGTAACGAAATAACCTGAGGGAAAAGATATTGCACAGGAAAAACAAAAGACGATTTCCTTTCATTTTACTTGTGAAACGCGATCGTGAACACTATCCACTATCCAGCCTGACTAGCACAGACAGAAAGGAAGTGTGTCTTTTGTTTCTATAACAAGACACCTGCCTACCTACCTTGTGAACTCAGTACATTCGGCTCAATTTTAAGAAATTCTTAAATAAACAAGATCCAATTAATCCCCTCATCTCACCTCCTAAGGAAGTGAGTTTAAGACATCTGGGCAGAACAGCCGAAGCATTAAAGATGCCCAAAGTTGAAACCAATGATATGTATCCAAAAGAAGTACGTTCAAGCCTCTTTATGTCTTTGTCATGGTCGTCATCAACACAACCAAAAAAATATTATCATGCGTTTATTATCTAATCTTTATCCGTACTTGTATTATGCAATTTCATCTTGTTACTCGCTATATTTTGACCCCTACCTGCATATTTGTGTGCCGAGTCAACAACACTTAATGTATACTTAGCTTTCAAATACGTCTGTAAGCAGAAATACAATACCCTCCCAACTTAGTATTTCCATGCATCCTGTGGGTAGTACACAATATATGTACATGATATGTAGATAAACATTTGGAAAGCCAGCTAAATAACTTGTATTGTAGAATATTTTCTGCATATCTCACAAGAGTAGTGGTTGATTATTACGGCGAAAAATCAAATCAAACAAAAAGGAAAAAATTGATGGGTGGTGACTACTGGTAGTGGAATCCACGATGCGCATTTCGTCCTATTTGGGACTCGTCAGCTAACTGGATATACACCTGCAGTTCCCAGTGAGTGATGTTGTTCCCACTTGGGCTGGAACCCAGTACCCATAGTTTTAAACGCCAAAGTTCTTTCCACTAGACTGCTTGGGTAACGAGGGTCACCTCTCGTGCAACGGGTATCAGTATATATTTAATTCAATTTGGACTTTCCCGTTGGTCGATTGATTGACTGGACCGAAGTGCTCGGTGTCAGGTTGATATGTCGATAACTTGTTCAGATGCTTCGACGATGTCTGGTTACTTAGCATGAAGTAAACTGGTGGATGGTGACTAGCAGTGGAATTCAGGATTAGCATTTTGTCCTATTTGGGACTCGTCAGCTAGTTACCATTCACCAATTTAATTCAAGTCAAACAATCGGACATCACCGACGCATCTACACAAGGAGTCGACATATCAACCTGAGGTCGAGTACTTCGGTCAAATCAATCAATCAATCAATGGAAAAGTTCAAACTGAATTAAATAAAAAGGAGAAAAAAAGCATAGAAATAAGAAAATCAATAAAATGTCACTTTTATACAGCCTTAATAACACACACACAAATACCTGCACATACCAACAGCACTGATCTCTACAATATTATTATTATTTTAAACATACCCTTCTCTCTCGTATGACAACATTAACAACAACAACAACAAAACTAAATACCTGATCATTTAATGCTTCCTTCGGAAGTCGAGCTAGATAGATCCACATATCTTCAAAAGGCTTAGGACTAAAGACGGTTGTACTGTTCCCCGCATTGTCGTCTTCCAATTCCTGTGTACATTTTTCATAATTTACCTCGAAAGGATCTTTCAAGAATGGCGGGAGTTTAGGAACTATCTCTGCTTTAGGACTTAAGCATAATACCAAATATTCCACTTCTTCCCATTGACGTATAGATCCGACAAGAAAGCAAGGACGTGATAAAATTTGGAAGGCCTAGAATAGAAAACAATGTATGATAATGATTTGCTTTTAATGAAAACTAGTCAGTTACAGAGTTAGTAGATGAAGATATAGAAGGTGAAATCCAAAAAAAACTAAGATGAACGCGATCATTGTAATATCGGGCGGCTTGCTTAAAACTTAGGCTACCATAAATTTCCATTATTAAATGGCATATAATTTCTCTCCTTTGTTCACACTTTGTTTTAATCTATCAAAATATGATCACTAATGGAATTATTTACCCTCGCGAGTATTTAAAAAGTTTACAGCCTGATGGTTCTTTTTTTCCTTCACGTTCCCCAGTGGAACATAGGGCTTCAAGCTACAGGCTTGAAGTTTCTGTAGCAGTGTTTATTTTACAGGATGGAGTTGCTAGCCTCATGCCCAACCTTTCCTCTTCACCAGCATTATTTTTGGCTTAGCGAGGTAAAGGAGTGAGTCGGCCGGGGATCGAACCCCGGACCATGCGCATGGTTCGTTAGTTCCTGTTAAACTTAAGGGAAAGTATAATCGTGAGAGGCAACATATTCCACTATACATGAGGTAGTTGTTCCCTAAGTTATGTCATTGTATCTCGAAATGTACTCCTCAACCCTATATAATTGGCTTTCAACCAAATGTCGGGCATTTCTCGAAGTTTATATATAAGATGTACTCAAAATGTTTTGGTTTATGCTCTTCAGGTGAGAAAGCATTGTCACAAGGTCTTCTGTCAATATTTTATCTGAACTGAAAATTCTGTACATTATGTAAACAAACTGTTCAGAATAAAGCTGTTATTATCATTATTATTTCCTTTGTTTGATGTAATTAATCAACCGGTTATTACAATACACTAGTGTAAAGTTCAGTTACAATGTGTGTAAAACTGATGCTTATCGTAGTTTTTACTGTGTAAATACAATGCAATGCTCTACACACGTCCCCCTTGCATGCACTTCAATGAATGATATTCAAGTTAGAATTTGAATAGTGGAATTTTCTAGAAACAAAGGTGGCAAGATATAGGTCAATAAAAACTAAGCAATATCAATACCCAAAGTAACTTGGCTACTTGTGGAAAAATTTATGAAGTCCTTTGACTGCAGAGTGACGGCTACTTGTAAGTATGAATCATTTATCAAGCATTCAGTGTCGTTCTGTTTATCCGTACGCAGATTGTGGGGAGCGAGAAGACACGAATACGCTGGAACGATAAGAAAACCCTAAGAGATCTGGATTTCGCGCGCAGATGACTTATGTTTAATGTCATACAGAAACGAAAACTTGCAGGAGAAAACAAACAAACTGGCTGAAGAAGTAGAGAAAACAGAACTCCAGGTGAAAAACGTAGAGAAGATAGAGGCGATGAGAAGATAACCAATCAAACAACAGTAACAAGCACCAATCACCATCAACAAAAGAAATCTGAAATAGATCACTTTCTTCACGTATCTAGCTGTGTTGCATCGTTCCCCCCACAGGGCTGCACGGATGAGGATATCAAAACTTCAGCCGGAAAGGTAAAGAAGATCTTCATCACCTTGAAATCAGTTTGAAAATCTGCACTCCGCAACATAAAAGATAAAAGTCGGATTTTCAACAGCAATGTTAAGTCAATCAGTGCTCCTGTATATGGATCAGAAATGTGCACTGCGTGTCTCGAAAAGCATTTCCAAAAGGTCACTACAGACTTTCATCAGCAACTGCCTACACTCGATGCTGAAGATCAGATAGCTAGAAGGGATTAGCAACAAGGAACTATGTCATCAGGCGACGAATCAACGAAGAGCCTATTGGCCAACAAATATGCCAAAGAAAATGGAGATGAATCTGACACACACGCTGAGAAGCCCATTAAGTGATATCACACGTCAGGTCTTTGAGTAGAACTCGAATAGAAGACGACGAGTACAGGTATGGATCCAAGAGCGACATGGTGCAGATTGTATGAGTAGGAGATGACAGTTTATGGGCAATAGTACAGTCAGCTAAAGCAGACTCCAGAGAATAGGACGAAATGTAGATGCCCTGTTGAAGCTCTATATGTTTCACTCAGAACCCAAGGGTATAATAATTGAATAATAATAATATATCCATAGGAGATGGTAAATTTTGGGGCAAATGAACAGTTTATCTTTCCTAGACATATTGCTTAGTCGACGGCTTGATGGGTCAATAAAAAGATCTATTAATAGAAAACCGACCTGGATAGGACAGTATCTTAATTACCACAGTTTCTGCCCTATTCGGTACAAAAGAACCTTCCTTAGTAAGGTGCCTCTTTAGTAGAATCCAACGAATATGCACTGAAGACACACTTGATGCGGAAGAAAGAAAGTTGACACAAACTCTGGTTGATAACAATTATCCAGACAAGTTCATCAGGAGATATAAGGTAGTCAGTGGAACACTAAGACCCACTCTCCAACTCGCCCCTGAGAAAGACGTGTATATTAAGCTACCCTATATGGGGCATCGAAGCAGCTTGATAACTAGACAAAGACTGAACGCTGCTGTTAAAAAGACTTTTTATGCAGCCAATATCATAATAATAGAGAATGTAAAGCCAATATATCTATCTAAGCCCTTCGAACATGCGAAAAATGACGTCACATCCCACTGTATTTACCAATTTGAATGTACGTGTGGACACACATACATAGGGAGGACTCATCGATCTCTGCAAGTAAGGGCTGGCTTCAGAGCATATACCTAAATGGCTCCAGAAAGAAATGGAATCTTCAGAACCTATTAACGGTGAGAACAGGAGACCTAGCTCCTCTATTGCGAAACATATCATAGATGGGACAGAACATAAAATTGACGTTAACACATCTTTTAAACCTATCAGTAAAACGTGTTTGGGGCGTTTGTGAAAGCCCTAGCTGACAATCAGAAAGTTTAAACCACCTTTATGCGTTCAAAAACATTTCGTCATTACACTGAACCTACCTTCCTTGGTAAACTTTGTTTTGATACCATAGCAGATGTACTATTACCTCTGCTATTTGGTTTAGTGGTCTTCATTGTTATTTTGACCTTCAATATGTCCTTTTAACTTGACCTAAGTCTATTTGCTCACTTCTTAGCTCTTTATTAATTTCACATATATTCCTATGGCAAGTCCGTGTGTGCTCAGATTGTTCGAAATGAGTGTTGCACAAATACGTTAAACGATTCAGACAAATTACGTCTTCTTATTGCTTTATCAAAATTCATAAAGGGAACTAATTGTTTTAAATGAAGAGTTATGGCTTAGAGGCAATTAAATCCTTCTCTAAATGGATTAGAGAAAATGTAGGGAGATTTTCAAACTGCAAGCGTACAAATCACAACAACAACAACAAATAACACCGAAACACTTAGTTGCATTAACGTTGAATACCGTTCTGAATATTTGCATTACTATAACCATGTTTATTCATTGTCGTATTTATTATACTTCTGTTGTCTTTGTGTATTTTTGTGCTTTTTGCAAATTGATAACATGAAGTGATGTAGTTCTGTGCAAACATTTTACATCGTTTGTTTATCTGTCCGTAAAAAAGGGTAAATAATCCTAATTTATAGACCAAAGGTGTGTATAAATGATGTAGATAAGACAACTGAATTAACCATTATTAATTAAGGAGAAGAATGCAGAGCAACCAGTTTGCGATATCAGCTTAAGTAACTAAATTTCAAGCATTGGAAACAATCAGAACTGTATTGGTTTGTATGGATTTCGGTTGATTGGGGTTACAGGATTTCATAATAAGTTGACATGGGTTAGAGAACCATTGGAAAACCTGGGAGCTGCTTTCGCTAACTTACACCATCTCTGGCGTAGGCGTGACATCCGACTATCAACCAAGGGACGTGTGTACTGCTCAGCAGTTCGCTCCGTCCTTCTCTATGGCTCTGAAACATGGCCAATACGAGTTGAAGACATGAAAAGGTTGACTGTTTTTGATCATAGATGTTTACGATCTCTTTCTCACGTTAGGTGGTATAATAAGGTAAGTAATGTTGACGTTAGGCGTAGAGTGTTGGGCAAAGAGGGAAAATCAATCGACGAGGCTATAAAGTTACATAGATTGATATTCAAGTGTTGGTTTGTAGGGATTTGATTGGTTACAGGATTTTCATCATCAGCTGACATTAGTTAGAGAACCATTGGAAAACCTGGGAGTACTGGACAGCTGTTTCGTCCTAGTTTGGGACTCTTCAGAAATGGTATACGAGCTCGCCTTGTAACCAGAAGGTCCTGGGTTCGAATCCGGTGGTGCGTATGCTGAAGAGTCCCAACTAGACAACAGCTGTCATTTACATAGATTGAGATGGCTAGGTCACGTGCTGCGCATGCCTAACCATCGCCTCCCCCTCCCGACGGGCATTACTAGCTGATATAGGTGCAGGTTGGAAAAGAGTAAGTGGTGGCCAAACAAAAACATGGCCTCATCAATCCATGAAATCCCTGACAGTTAAACTGAGTCAGGTAGGGAGATGCAGACTTCCGGGTTGGGGCCCGCCCTCGGGACTCTAAGAATCAATGACTGGAGACAATAGGTGACATGGCTCAAAATCGTTGTCAATGGCTTACGCAGATGTATTCAGTCTCTGTAATCTTTCATATTCCTTTCTACCATTACTCATTCTGTTTCACTCTTATACATGTCAAAACTCTATTGATTCTCTTCACTCATCTTCTTGTCTACCTTTGTGTGCTATTTGGAACGTGGCAACTCGAACTGCTGCACTTCGGTGCCAAATTCTATGTTGAATCCAAACAGACAGACAGACAGACTAGGCTGTTGTTTCGTCCTAGTTTAGGACTCTTAACAGTACGCGCCCTGGTTTCGAACCCCGGTGGTTGCGTAGTGCTGAAGAGTCCCAAACTGGGACGAAACAGTTGTCCAGTACTCCCAGTTGGTTTTCCAATGGTTCTCTAACCCATGTCAACTTATGATGAAATCCTGTAACCAATCAGAACTGTTTTACAGATGTGTACAACAAAGATTTTATGATTTTTTGTTGTTGTTTTGAATTTCAGTCTTTTAGCTGTCTTAAAAGACTACACATATTATCTTACATCAAAGGCATTCAAGTGATTTCAAAGTGTTCGATGGCACATTATTTTTTAGAATGGTAAAGGTCATCACTGATTGGTTGAAATCATTTTAATTAATGGATTCATCACGTTTTTACAGACTCCACACTCAACTGTTCATTGCTAGTAGCACCATTAGCTTCAAGAATCAAGGGGTGGTTATTCTTTGACATTTTGCAGTAAAGTAAAGGATATATAGATTGGTGGGTGAGCATCTTTCAGTACATTCAGACCTATCCGGATGAAGTGCCAGACACCACTGCTCATCTCAACAGCTTGATATAACGATTTAGAATCGATGCGAATGCGTATTATTCCATAGTTCTCTTGTTTTTTTGTTTAATGAAAAGTAAAGTGACGTAATACAAAGGCAAGTTGACTTCGTTTACCATCCACCCTGCTACATTCTATCCCTAACTTGAAAACTATATCACATCAGGCAATTCTTAGCTTTTATGTTTTACCAGTTCTGTCGCTAACAAATACACAAACACAACTGCCATTGTAAAACAGTTGTCCTTAGTAATTTTTTTTCAATACAATAAAACAAAGTAGTATCATACCTGTCGTGCTGCACAGACTTGAGCTAGGGATTTTGAAACGGAAAGTGATTCGGCTACCAGGACATCTCCAATCAACAGATCACAGGCAAATAATTGGTTAACGTCAAATACATCAACAGCATTAGCGGTCTACAGAATTAAAAATAAAAATAAAACGTAAGTAGGATTAATATACACAAGCTAAATGAATATTTAGTTGTCTATAGGGACAAAAATAGATTCAATAGGTTTCAGCCTGATTACTGAATTAATTGATATTGAAATAGTCATTGGAATCCACCTGAAGAAGGCAAGTCTATGTGTTGAGAGGAAATATGTACAGACTAGCTTTCTTTACCCTGGCCATCGGTACCTGAGTGAAAAAAACGTGCTGACTATTTCGCACTCCACCTAAGTCTTTTAAAAATTAACATTGTACAAATTATTTTATCCTTATGACTACTTCATCTTTAATTGCTTATTGAGTTATCGACTTCAACACTAGCGATGAGTCACGAAACAGGATGAAACAGCTGTTACGGTACTCCCACGTTTTCTGATGGTTCTCTAACTGATATCAATCTGTGATCAAACTTGAAACAAATCAACTCTCAATAAACTAACTCTTGGTAATTAATCTGATGCTCGCTAAAGACTGTTTTACAGGACGAAGTTGGCTGAAGTCTTAGTGAAAAGTCGTGACCCCAGTGCAGTCCATTCGGTCGGGAGTGAGGACAAATACCGACCAGCTATGACATTGACTAGTTGTCACGCCGAAATCACGAATTCGTAGAAGTTAAAAATCACGGACTGGCCATTGAATGGGGTCCCAGTGACTGGATGTTCTACGCGTCCGCATTGTAACTGGGAAGTCCTGGGTCCGAACCCTGGTGTTGGATGCGTACTGCTAACGAGCCCCGAACCAAGACGAAATAGCTGTCAAGTACTTCCTGATGATTTTCAAGGGTTTTCTAACTGGTATCAATCCGTGATCAAGCTTCAAATATATATATATATATATATATATATATAAGTAAACCCAGATATGAGGGTCTGATTGAAAATCAAGTATTTTTTTGCTTAATCTATTTTGTCTTCTGATATGAAATTAATCAAAATGCATAATGGTTGAATTTTCATATCTGGAGGATATCTGTGCACGTTCCTGAGAGCCGCTTACCTACTGATAGAACTCTTTTAGATATTGACTCCAAGTGGGAGAAATCAACTTCTGCAGTGCGTGCACTGTCCAAAGGTAACAATCAACCACACTCTGATGTCAGCACTCAAAGATGTTGTTTCCCTTCGTCACCTTGGTTTCTTGAAAATTTCACCTCTTTACAGAAATATCTCATGTATAGATTCTTCATCTTTTAACATTCTAATCATTCTTTTAAAGCCACGTTTCTCTTTTCACATTGAAGCGTGCAACGTCCTGGTCTTGTGTCAAGCACCACCACAAAACCCAGGTGCCTCTCGCTTTCAATGAATATTTTATCCCTGAGACACGTACACACAAAACCCAGGTGTCGTGGTTTACTTAATCCCACCTGGCCATCATTGTTGAGTTTATACATTTCATCCCAAGGTTCTGAGAAGACCATTTGGTTGGTTATCGTGAACTTGTGAATATAGAGTAGAAAAGTCCGAAATGATCTGGACCGCACTGAGCAGTCAGACATATGAATACCATCTGGCTGAATCGGTACGTAAGAATAAGGCAAATAAATAATCACCACTAGGTCACATAGAGTATAGTTAGGAAGAAGTTAAGGATGCGTTTTATCAGTTGTCCAGTTCGGTGAGAGAAAAGCAAATCTTAGATGTAGTCATATTGCAACGACAGAAGACAAGGGTCAAGTAACAGATCGTTTGTTGAGAAAATCAACAAATATTGATAGATTTTTATATACACTATTATTCGTTATTATTAACAGAGAAACGTCTTCTGACTGTCTTCTTGCCGAAAGTTAATCTGTCATCTCTTTGTGTCTGTTTCCTTGAAGGTCAGACCATAATATTTGCTAATCGTATCCGCCCACGTAAAGTCTTCCTTCTTTTTTTCTCATTAACAAAATTTGGGAAGTTAACATTGACGTACATTGCTGTCTACCAATTCTGGCTAGCAGACAGCTCTCCCCACAATATTAGCAAGTGATTTTTATTGTTAGCTTAGAATAGCTGAGCAAGTCAGCAAAACGTAATGTGGGTCTCTACAGAGATCGACAGCAGTGATCATCACTTACAGTCTTTCAGGTAAATCATTCTTAGATAGCAGTAACTTCAAACAGAGATACTGTATTGCTTGACAATCGACAACACCAAGCTAACAATGAACATGAGTACATCCCATAGCAATAAGTTATCACTTTGGTCTAGTCGTGTTTTTTCCAGCTGTTCACAGTATGCGTATTTTTAAGTTAGCAGAGAAAGCCATCGACTAATGTGCATAGGATCCGGTTTTCAATGAACAATGTTAGCTGATATCAGATTCGGTTGGAAAAGAGTTAGACGTGACCAGACAGAAACACAGCACTAACCTATGAAATCAATGACCAATGGAAATAGCAATACGAGGTGTGTTTTTTTTTATTGGACACTAGTCAGTAACTAGTGTAATGTGTCTAGTCCTATCTTTGGTGCAGACTGAATTCTATCAGTCATGTTTGCAATGTGGCCACCATGCTAGGTGGCTCGCCATTACGATGCACTGTGAATTGTTGGTACTAGATGGTTGGAGGCAATCGGCAGGAAGCCTTGGACCTAGGTTTCGTGCTAGTTGGCACTCTTCAGCAAGGCGTATCTGTAACCTTGAAGGAACTGATGTCCCTTCTGAGATTCGAACCCGTATCACCCAGTGCTGCAGTCAGAGACGTTACCACTGAGCTATTCAGGCTCGCGACTGACCTCCTGTAGGACTGTATTGGATATTTTTGATTGAACACTAGTCAGTAACTAGTGTAATGTGTCTAGTCCTATCTTTGGTGCAGACTGGATTCTATCATCAGTCAAGTTTGCAATGTGGCCAGGATGCCACTAGGTGGCTCGCCATCACGGTGCACTATGAATTGTTGGGGTATTAGATAGTTGGAGGCAATCACTGAATAGCTCTCAATGGTAATGTCTGTGACTGCAGCCCTACTGGGTGACGCGGGTTCGAATCTTAGAAGGGACATGTTTTTTTCTTCCAAGATTGCAGATACGCCTTGCTGATTAGTAAGTGCCAACTAGCACGACACCTAAGCCTAAGGCTTCCTACCGATTGCCTCCAACCATCTAATACTAATACGAGGTGTAGACTACTGAAAGGTTGGAGTCTTCAGGATGTTTCAAAATCGATTGTGAGCAAGTCTATGGAGACAGTGTGTATGATACTACTTGACTACTTAAAACACGGTATGTTGAGAGGGGTTTAGACAGGCAAGTCACTGGCTGAAGGTGGTAATATGCATAAAAGCCTACCTGGAATTTACAACTAACAGTCAATGATTAAAAAAGGCTAAAAATCGTCCACTTCCTGTCATGTTTTCCAGGTCTGAAGAGCTAAACGCATTTTCGTTTACAATCATTCTATTCATCACACTTATGTTGGTCTATTGTGACATCATTCTATATTTCTGTTCTTCTATTTTATGTTTCTCGATGTGTGATAGCTTGAACTCATCCCCTTCTGTGCACAAAGTCCTACACTGAATAATCAGTAAGTCATTTTTACACATCTAATAAAATTTTTAGATATATATGAAAAAATGGTTAAGAAGAAAAAACGAAAACACTTACAGAATGCATAGTATTCAATGAATAATTTCCATTGGATAACTGTTGAGCTTCTGATTTGATGAAAAATGAACGTTCTTTTGGAAAGAGATCAGAAATTCGAGTGAATATATACGTCGGTGAAAGACCAATACTGCAGTCAACTACTTGTGAGAGTTCCTTTACAAAATCAATCGGTAAACCACTGAAACTTTCTTTCTCACGAAGAAATAATTCATGTCCACGCTCCCGACATGATAGCTTATAAGGATAAGAAGAATTAGAAATGAAGATCAAACAACCAAATAATACCATATATATATATATATATATATATATATATATATATATATGGAATAGTTCATAGAATGTATAGATGTTGTAAGGGGGGTGTATAATTACACTGTTAGTAGGCAAATATAAAACGTTGCCTAACATGGTATGGAATTTGATACAACAGAATTCAACATTGCAAAACACTTTTGATTTAGAATAACAAGTGGGACAGGAGCAGTAGTACCGGAAATAGTTCAAAGTGAGAATGGCAATAGAAATAATATTAGTAATCGTATTGATGGAGGAAAGGTACATAGATTAACTAAATAAATATAAGCTTATCACTCTACGACCAAGACAGAAATAGGGACTGCATACAGCTCTTTTGTACACAAAGTTCTGGCTTAAATTCATGAATTCCCAAGTCCTCCGTTGTCTTTAGAAGTTTAGAAAGAAGAAAACGCAGCAAGTTAGCGTGGATTCGATAGACAACCTTAAAATCATGGTTAGAGTTGTTAGAGTGAGAGAAGTTGATCAAATGTTCCAGAATAGAACTTCCCACACCCTTCCTTTCTCCTTAATACAACCATGCTGGAATATGTTCTCGTATTCGTGTGGAAAGAGCATTCCCTGGCTACGGCCAATGCCCTACCTTACTCCATAAGAGCAGGCGAATTAATAGACTCAAACGGAGGCAACCAGAGACGGAGAACAACTTAAGGCTGGTGGATTTATTTGGTAAATAAATATTCGGCTGAATATTATGTTCTTAATGCTACAATGAGAATTACTAAATCATTGAAGAAATGCAAAGAACCAAATAATTGATGAACAGCAAAACAATTACTGGTGTGCAGCAGTGCAAACACGTTTCATTATGAGCTCAGAAAAGTGTCAATAAAATGAGATACAGTGTACAAACTATTCCCAATGCCTTTGCTTTCCTTAGAATTTTATTATGACACACAAACGCCTTCCTTATACTTTTTAGACGGAAATTGGTTGGAAAACTACAATTCCGAAACCAAAACAAAAAAATTTGATCACGTTTCCGGAATATAAGACTTTTCTTTACTTGGTTTCCTCGTTTAAAAACTGAGCACTTTCATATAATAGCCTAAGGTTGATTGAAATTTGATTGTTATGTAAGTTTTATAACTCAGTTTAGCTGTTCATTCAATATCGGAATTATTCAGTAAAAATAATCAGATTAATGTTAAAGGAAATATACTCGAAGTGTGTAATTGGCTCACGGAACCAACGTAACTCTTTTGGTGTAATTGGTAGTGTAGAAAGTTTCACTGAGAAATAATTTCCTTTGTTGAATGATGGTAATCACGGATCATGATCAAAATGAACAAGAAGAAACTTTCATAAGGCCTTGCTTGATAAGTCAGTAATTTCACTTAACATGGTTACATGCATGTCTTTCAAGCAGGCTGAGTTATACTTATTGTGTGGATATCTTTAGATGAAAAGGGGATCAGTGGACTGGATACACGAAACCCGATGGACTACATTCTACTGTTGAGAAGGCTCTAAAATGGGTAAAAGGCTCAAACAATGGTTTGGTTAAACACTGGTTATAACTATGCAATAAAATCTATCCCTAGCTGACATCGGTTAGAGAACCACTGAACAGTTGTTACGTCCCAGCTTAGGACTCTTCGTGAGTACCCATCCACCACGACCAGGGTTCGAGCCCAGGTCCGACCTCCTGTACGCCACTGGTCACGACTTCCCAATCTAAAGGGCGTCGGTTCATATCCCACCTCTACTGAAGGCTTTCCCTGGGAAGTCGTGACTAATGGGGCACAGCATGTTGGGTGTGAGGACATATATTCGCCACCGATAACACTGGCTTGTAGTTGCACTATATCGTGAATTGGCAGAAGTTGGAACTAATGGGCCGTTGGATCGGGTCCCAGTGGTTTAGTCATCTACCAGCTCGCTTCGTAACCGGGTGGTCCTAGGTCCGAACCCTGGCGGTGAGCGCGTGCTGACGAAGAGTTCTGAACCGGGACAAAACGACTGTCTAGTACTCCCATGTTTTCCAATGGTTTTTTAACCAATATCAGCTCATGATGAAAACCTGTAGCCAATCAAATCCCTGCGAATCAACACTTGAAAATTTATCACACTGTATTACTTGTTACACATTGAAACCTAGAGCTAGTACTGTTCGTCTAAAATATCTGGTAGCTTTTAAAAATATCTGTGTTTGTGAAACGAATGTTGACTGTTTAATAGAAGGGGATAAACCAAACCTCAAAGTTTAAAAATACATTAGACCAACTTACAGTATTAAAATTCCAAAAAGGTCAATAGATTGATTACAGTGTAAGGTATAATAAGAAAAGCATATCTCAAAGTATAAAATGATAGAACTAGGTGTTTACACCAACTTACTTGCAAAGCACAAATCATAGCTTGTCTTCGAAGAAGAATGAAGGTAGGAGGTGGGGGAGGCATTTTTGCTGATGCCCCAGCAGGAGATTTGTTTACCAATACATCAGAAGATGAACCGAATACTTGGCTTGTCTGATTTCGTAATGTTTCAGAGGATTGCTTTTGTACATTAAAGGCTTCTAGATCAAGGGGAGATGGTAACCGACCATATGTGCCATATTTTAGTTGTGGCCCCCATTGACCCAAGTTATTTTGATTATTACCAACCGGAAGGGCTAAAGTAGCAAGCATAGCAGAGGTTTGCAATTCACTGGGTAGATCTGCGAAAGAAGTTATGCTCTGAGTAGGCTGGTGATTTGGAGTTACAGAAATAGGTGTGTTCACAGAGTTTGTTACAATGGGAGTTGTCACTGGGGTGGCTAAATTCGGTTGAATCGGGATCATAGAGGCAAATGATTGGTGATGAACATCCTGTGTGAAGGGGATCACAGTATTAGATATAGGTGTGCAGATAGTAGCGGGGACGAATGTAGGTAGGCTTAAAGGAATAGGATAGAAGAAGGGTCTAGCGCCAAAATCAAAAGATGTTGCACCAGGGTGTAGACCGAATTGAGTGTTACTAAAGGCTGGGGCAATATAAAACGAAGGGACAAGTGAATAATAGGGTGAAAATCGATCATCGAGTGTACACAACGAACCTTCTGGGACAATGTAACTAACAGGTGCGTGTGACACAACGCAATTATTTTGCACTTGAGAGATAGGTGGAACTGTGCACGTTAATGTTTGGGCAGCGCCAATAACAGTTTCTGGATTCTGTTGAGTGAACTCAGTTCCAGACTGGGGTACAAATGAATGCGAAGCAGTTCGCACATCCATCCCAAAGTTCTGAAAAAACCAGTCTTCATATTTTTTTACCCATTCGTTCATGGCTCGTTTCATTTTACTCGAGGAGATACGACTGCTCTTAGGATTAAGATTTTGATCTGGACAGTCAAGATGGCTTTCAGTAGAATAGTAATGTGCATCATCACTTGTAAATAGTTCTTCTTGTGCTTGATCTGTATAAATATTTTGTTGAGAAAGTAAATTTAGCGCTTCTTGACTGTACATTTCTCGATTAGGTACTCGACTAATATTGTGGTGGAAATTAGAAGTCTGTTCACTTTTGTCACATTCTAAATCATTCAACGGAGCTTCATCTGGATAATACGAATATGACTCGTAGTCAAACTCTGTAGACGCCTCAGTTTGCGTGGAGGCATCTTTTTTAATAACAGGTTTCTTTTTAATTGCTGGTTTATCCGTTTTTTGGGCAGCACCACTGTGAGCATGCTCAAGGACAGCCTTGAGAAATGCTTGGACATGAGCATCGACTTGTTTACGCTTGTCTGGAGATTGGTTTGACTCTCCATTGCAATCATTCTTGGGCTTTTTAGCAGTAGGAATATGATCTATAAAATAATAGAAAAATGCATTTATAAAATTAGACGGTTTAAACACATTACATCGACACAACGGTTATTTTAATATGCTATACACGTACAAACACCAACAAAGATAGATATGCTAGAAGTGACCTGGATGCAAGTGACAGATACCAAATACATTTTAAAAATTTATTTAGTTTGTATTATATTTCAAAAAATAAAGAGTACGAAAGGTGAGACAGGATTCCGCCTATAATATGACAACTTCCCTTGGTTTATATGATTCCGTAAATCTCATAATTGTTGTAGATTTAAGTATTATTACATGGCAGCACGTTGTAAGCCTCTTCACCTAATCGTAATCAAGTCACTGGGATGATACCTTTAAGACATTTCCACGCCAGTGAAACCGGTTCAAAGGTGCTTTCACCAATACAATAGTCCATTATTTCAAATTCACCTTGGTTTTTATTCTCTTAGTAGTGGCTTTCCTCATTAAATATAATGGAAGAAACTGTTGCAGTCGAGAGCAACTACGAAGAACAATACAGCGTGGTTACCGAGGAAGGGAAAATCGAAGATGGGTACTTAATGTTTACAGCTAAGCATACCAACCAAAATAAGGATGAAAAGAAAAAGATTACGAATTGCTGTATGCAGATTGCTGACTTAAAAGGACACCTTAGAAAGCATGTGTTACGTATGCCTAGTCATCGCCTTCCTCGACAACAGGCAATGTTAGCTGATATAGGGTCAGCCTGGAAAAGAGCTAGCGGCGGTCAAACCAAAACATGGCCTCACCAGTCAATGAAATCCACAACAGTTAGTCTAAGCCACGTAGGAAGGTGTAGACTTCCTGGTTGGGGTCCTCGGGACGGTAAAAACCAATGAAGGCTTGAAACAATTGGTGACATGGCTCAAAATCGTTCTAGTGAATGGCGCAGATGCATCCACTCCTTGTGACTTATGATTTCCAATTAAACTGTTTTGTTCTCCGTTATTACTATTCCTTTGTCTCACACCTCTGTTTACTGACTATATTATGCATTTCTGCTACTTTCTTCTCTTGCTTTGTGTGCTACTTGCATTGAGTGTTGCGACTTGAACTGCCACACATATGTGCAAAGTTCTATGTCGAAAACCGACCGACCGACCGACCTTAGAAAGCATTTGATGCTACAAAACAGGAATTAACTGATTCTTAAGCACAGTGTAGAAGTGCTTGTATGCCATCAGCATATTTTACTAAGTATATTCAAAAGAACATTCGTTACTGCATATTACTTCACGTTGTCAAATAACGAAGTAACTGATGTAGAATTGCCAGTGATTTCCATTCTGCGCCATGACTGAGTTTTAGTGTAGAACTTTGCACGGAAGTGCAGCAATTCAAGTTGTCACACCATGTAGCACACAAAGGTCGACAAATGAGAGAAAACCTGAGATTCCAAAGAACTATCGTAGGCAGAAATACGTGGTAGAAAGAATAGTATCATGGAAAAACGTAACGATTTAGTAGATATGGAAGATCACAAAGAGTGAATGCATCAAAAACATTGAGGACAATTTTTGGTCGTACCACTAAGTCTCCGGTCGCTGATTCTTAGAATCCTAAAGACCCCAGCCAGTCAGCCTACAACTTTCAACGTGTCTTAAACCAACAGTCAAAGACTTCATTCACTGATGATAGGTTTCGACTCGACCTAAACTAACTCATTCCCAACCTAATCCTATGTTAGCTGACATTGCCCCTCGAGGAAGACGACGGCTTGACGTGCGCAACTTGACCTAGCCGTTTCAATCGATGTAGCTTCATCGATTAACTTAATCTCCTTATCTAACACTTTACGCTCAACGCCAATACTACTCATCATATTTTACCACAACACGGGAGATAGTACGCTAACATCAACAGTCAAAGACAGCTAACCTTTTCGTATCTCCCACTTCCCGAGACGGTGTGTGACAGCTATAAAAGAGGACGGCGAATTACTGGATTCTGCACTATAAATGATGTCTCAAGTCAGTGTCGGACAATTTTCTGAACCTCAACTGAGGAGCCGCGCAACTCAACACGATCACACTTAATCCAATGGCATAAAGATGAAGCCTCACTATCTCTTTGCTTCTCTCAACTAGTCCTGCGTCTAACAAATAGTAAGTGTTATGGAGGCTGACGAGATGACATTTGTAACACACGAATAAGACAATAAGGCCGGTGCCTCAGGATGAAATTGCCGACGGAAGGACCTCCGCTTCGCCTAAACGCGTGTCATGAAGCCAGACACTAACAGTACTGAACAAGTACCCGATGAACAACCTGGTACGGTTGACAGTGAGTAGACTTCGGTCCTCCTCTCGAAGTGCTAGTGTTCGTGGCCTCTGTCAGGTAATTCCTATTTACTGCCTTCACGTGGCTGGAGTGTCCCTCACAAAAGTTAAAGGGAAAATGACATTTTCTGCTTGCAACCCGACTAGTGGATGGATCATCTAGAGGGTCTAGTTGTAGTCACTAAATGACTACGATAGCTGGAACAAAACAAGAGAACAGCTTCGAATGATACCAGAGGCGATCTACATTTTCATTTTGCAGTGTGACTTCGTGCTTTCTACGGTTTCATCTTTATTATTTTCCTCCCACAATTGTACGAATTGAATATTTAGCAGTAACTTTTCATGTCGAAACTTAGGGATGATTGTCAGGGTTATAAACATTTCATTGAACGATTACCTTATACAGATGCATGTATAAGGGATATTTCTCCAATCCAAACTTAGATTTAATGAATCAGCTGGTGACATAAACGATATACATGTATGCAGACGAGTATGCTTATATTATCATGAAAAAGTTAAAATATAGTAACCACCTCAATCGAAACGGCAGCTAACCCTGATTACATATTTAGAATAGTAAGGAGATAAAAACTACAAACTTGTTAGAGGGATGACCATAGGCAATAGTGTCCTGAGACCCGCGTACGCACGTATGTCCATGTCCACAAGCTTCCAATAATTCTAAACTAGTTCTAACCTGTGCGACGATAATGCCTTTTTATGGTAAATGAATATTTTACCTATCTAAAATGAACCCACTATATACTAAAATATGGCTAGTCATTCTTAAAAAGAGCACTGGACGCTTAGTTAATGCGACGAAACCTTAAAAATAAGATTTGCAGCTGAAATAATTTCTTTATTGCTGAAAGAAAGCTGAAAACATTCCCACTATGCTTTGGATTAGGTCTTTTCGTTCTGTAGTGTTATCAGTCATTTCTGAATCTCAGCTGAAACAACGCTGCCAAACAAACCCAGAAGGTTCCGAGCGACTTCTGAAAATGGCTAGAAAAAGCACAGGGTGCTGAATTAGTGCTAGACATGCTGACAACCAGTCGGTGAGCATGATCAGACAATTTCCAAACAACTTCAGAATATCCACTCATTATAGAATGTGACAGTTAGTTCAAGATTAGCGAAACTTAATTCAGCATTAGAGTTAGCTTGGGAACGTACACAGATCAGAAATGTCAATCCTGATCCTGTTCAATGAACTACACTGGAATCCTCTTTAAAAAAAACCAATAACCTTATCTTGTTGTTTTAGCTTATTTGTAGTCCATTAACCTAAATTCGATAGTTTATGATCTAATACTGAGATTTGATTATCACGAATACTCCGAAGTGAAACAAAGTAATGTCAATTTCACTACCAGTGTTTCCTGATAAGTAAGCCATCTTAAGTATCAGCAAACTCGAAGGATACGCAATGTTAAATGGTAGTCTAAGGCTAAGGTGGATGACAAACCCATCAATTGCACAAGCAGTAGCGCCAATAATTAATAATAACGCCAAGAGATTCGAACAAACAATTGAGATGTACAATGTACAATGCATTCAAGTCGAAGTTTAATCTAACAGATTTTGGCATTCTCTCTCTAAAACTGCTTTAAAATTCTAGTTACTAAATGGATCCATGCTTGAATCAATAGTCTTTATTAGCTGTAGTATATAGCATGGAGACCGAATACATCTATCATTTAATACTTTCCAAAGAATTCAAATGTAGAGAGTCTGACTTCCCATCTGCTGTTGTTTCGCTGAACTCAGTAAGTAGAGTAATATTATTTTGTGAGGAATAAATAGATTATACATGTGCAGCCCATATCTTTTATGTTATAACTTTCGTTTCGCCATACAAGACTACCAAAAAGCTGTGGAAGCTATGGATACAGCAGTATAAAGGCTTTAAAAAGCCAAGTGAATTGGTGAACAGAATCATCGAATGTGAAGCGAAATAGTGGCATATAATGCAATAAAGCTGAGGAGAGTGAAAAGATTATGTCACTGACAGAAAAAGTGCGAAGTGACCACATAAATGGAGAAGTGGGAGGCTAAAATGGCAGGGTCAGCAGTCTCAGAAGACAACAGTCAGGGAGTGGCTATCATGATGTCACTAACAGCAGCCACAGGCCTTATGCCTGCAGTGAGAACCAATCTCCTCCTGCAGGATAATGACAGCAAGATTCAACTCAAGAGGAAGGAAGGTCACAATTACCAATTCTACGCACTTAAAATCAACTCGGAAAAAGAGAAGAAAAAGAGTTTCCATCGGCAACTGCAAACAGTAATTGACATCTCAAATGGCAACATGAATATCCTAATAGACAATATAGATGCCAGCCGGACTGGGAGCAGACAGTACATGAAGAGAAATAATCATGGCTCGAGAGGCTCTCGTTCAGTGAAGCGAATGAGAACGGAGATCTGTTCGCTAATTTCTGAGCCTTCAATCAATACGTGATTAGAGGTAGCGAGTACAAGCACAAGGATATGCTATGAACAAGGCGACTTTGATTACGCCTGACTAATACACCAGAAACCAGATAGACTTGATCTGAATGTTGATCAAGAAAGAGAAGAAGCAGCTAACCTGTTTGACACAGTCGCGTAGGGGAGCAGATGTCGGTGTTTAGACCATTATCTAGTTCAAGCAACGTTGAAAATCAAGCTGAAAGCCATCACAACAACTGGAGACAGACCAATGTAATGCAGGTTGAACACTCAGAAACTGAAAGACGGAACTACAAGGGGTACCTTCACTGCTACCATCAGATCAGAGCAAAGTGGGAGACACTATGTAGCATCACTGAGGAAACCTGTGTGGAAGAACATTTGAACTCTATGAAAGGGATGTTCAAAGAAACGTGTACAGTCGTGTTAGGAAGGAGGAGGACAAAAGATAGGAAGTGAGTGTCTACGGGCACCTGGAAACTAACGGAGGAGAGGAGGATAGTGAAACAGATGATGACTCAGTGTAGAAATGGGCAACAGAAGGAGAAACTGAGTTTAATAAAGAAGCGAAGAAGAGTGACAGGAAAGACAAAAGAAAATTCTAACACTCACTGGCTAGCAACTGGGCATAACAGGCAAGCTGCAGGTAAAGGAGACCTCAGACCATTATATCAGAAAACCAGGTCTCTATCCGGGAAGAGATCAACGCAGATGAAAGCTATAAATAATGGTCAAGGGAATATATTTATGAAGGGAGACAGACAACGAAGACGAGGAGCTGATCACTTCAAAGAACTCCTGAATGACCCATCACCTGCAACTCGTACAGAAACACCACCACCATCACCAGCAGCAGACACAGAACTGCCTGCCAATGGACACCAATCCTCCAACAAAACCGAAAGACTTCAGTGCAATCGAGCTACTGAAAGCCAGTCGCTGAAGGCGTCAGAAGTGGATAGAATTCCTCTTGAGGTAGCGTATACGGATTCACATACTGCAGCGGGTATGCTGATGCTACTATCGCAAAACGTTTGGAAGGAGGAGAAGGTGCCTATTGATTTGAAGAAAGGATCACGTGTCAAACTACTCAAGAAGGGAGACTTGAGCCTTTGCCAGGGCTGGTGTGAAATCATGCTCTTGTCTACATCAAGCAAAATGCTAAGTCGCGCCATCCTGAATAGACTGAATGATGCACTGGATGCATATGTCCAGGTGACATTCACTTCACCTATCCTACCGCGCATCGTCGTTTCAACTGCAAGCAGTCGGCATGCATGAGGATGTCAAAGTCAGCCAGAATCAGAGAGGAAATGCAGATATTCGTCACTGTGAAATCTTCTGCAGTCGGAGTAGATAAAGTAATTCTGATTTTGAACAACAGCGTCGAGTCAGCCAGTTCTTCTACATGGATCTGAAACTTGACGTGTTATGGAGAGCATTTCTAACAGACCACTATAGACTTTTATCAGCAACTATCCTTGCTGACTCTATTATGAAGATCGAATAGCGGGCCAGAAAGAATTAGCAACAAGACACTCTGGCAATGCAGCGAACCAACCAAAGACCCGGATCTCAACAAGTATTCCAATGGAAATAGAGGGAGGTGGATTGGACGCACTCTTAGGAGACTGTTAGGTGACATCGCACTCGAAACCGGCCGCCAAGTGGAGTAGAAAATAGTAGAGACGTTGTGTTTAAGCCCTATTTTCCACTTGAAACCCAAGGGAACAATAATAATAATGATAATACCCTTCGCTTACTTTCACTTGTGAAGGCAAGCACCATAAAAGAATGCATTTTCTTGATGTCTTGCTACATAGGCGACACGATGGGTCACTTGGAAGAGGCGTGTATAAAAAGGCAAATTCGCAGATCACCACACATATCTCCTTAGCTGTGTCCTTAAAACATAAAATATTGTTGAGTGTCTTACGTGAGAGCAAGGAAGAAATGCATGAATGATCACCTAAACAGGAATTTGAATACATTTATGATTCCTTGACGGGTATGCGTAATAGAAGTAGGTTCATAAAGAAACGAATGAAAACAATGGATAGAAAACCTGAGATAATGACAGCATGGATAAACCTCCATTTATTAGGTTCAAATTGAATGAGGACTTGCCAGGTGAAACTTTGTTCAAGAGACTTTCCAGAAGTACACGGAGAATATTTTACTCACAAAGCCTGTGTTTGTCACTCTCTGGTTGACAAGTGAATGGGACTCAAACGAAGGATAAGCTAGATGGATTCGTCACATCTATGTGTACTTACCAAGTCAACTGTTCCTGTAGAAACAAGTGTGTTGGGCATAGTCAACGAGTTATTGAACATCTAGGCTTATCTGAAGTTATTTTCCCCCCTTGGAAACTTCTAGTGAACTTGGTTTCTAAGGTATTAGTAGATGCAGTAGTTCTACGTCTTCTAGGGAAGTCATCATTCGTACGAAGTCCATATTTTGGTATTTAAAAAAATGTACATTTTTTCAGCCAGCAACCTCTTTTTTCAATTTTACTATATTCACATGGACAGAAAACAACCATAAATCAATGGAAAGCATATCGAACGTCAGTGGTTATGTTTAGGCAGAAATGCTGTTAGTAGAGCCACATAAGTCACAACACAGCTAGTTTCATCCGAATAGACTCAGCTATATGGTATTTCACCGGAAAACAGACTTACAGGGACGAGTAAAAGAAAACATGGATACTGCTCAAACAAAAGCAATAAATAAAACAGTAAGAAATATCCTAATCAGAAAATTCAGAAAAGAATTCCCACGCTGAAATTAAAACATTTCATTGGTCTATAAACGGATGGAGAATTGTGGTAAAGTTGGTAGCTTTGTTGATTAGTTTGTTAGTTGGGTGGGTGGGTTTTGTGAGCTTGATGTTGAAATTTTGTTAGTTGGGTGTTGATCGGCGGTCGGTGGTTGGTGATTGATTGAGCGTTGGTAGATTTGAGACACGGTGTAGTAGAGAAGTGTTGATCTTGTGCATACTGGCCTGTTTGTGACACACGGTTGACATGTTTCCTGATTACGCGTCAACGTCCAGTGGGTAATTGCAGTTAGATGTGATCAGTGCAGGTGTCTTGCAATCGGAGACAGTTGTCACCGTCAGTGTACACGTGTCTTCAATCTGCTGACCTCCGGAAATGGTTACGTGCATGGATTGGGCATGGGTGAGGAGGCATGCACACTGTCCAACTGTGTTGACTGTGAGTATTTCTACTCGACTGTCTTCGAGCTGAGTGATGGTGGGCGTGAGGAGAGTGGTGATTGTATGTGAGCGAGTGAGTGAGTGAGTAAGTAAGTAAGTAAGTAGGACTGACTAGCGAAGAGTGGTTGGAAGGGAGGGGGACGATGATGTGTCGGGAAGTGATGAATGCTAGGAAGGACAAAGAGACAGACACAAGACAATAGATAGAGAGGCAACAGAGATAGGCGGATGGACAAGCATGCAGAGATACAGACAGGGGGGAAGGCGTAGAATGAGAGAGAGTTGGTGTATTTGTGTGAATGTGTGATTTCGAGTGATGACTTTTGTGTGTGTGTGTGTGTGTGTTATTGTGGATTGTTTAATGACTGCGTGTAGGATGTGTTTATAGTATTTCGTGTTTGTGTGTGAGAGTGAGTGAGTGTGTTTGTTTGTTTGTGTGTGTGTGTGTTTCTGCGTGTAGGTGTTGAAGTTGCTGAGTGGCTGGTGGGCTCGTCCGGTTGGTCGAGCAGAGTGGCGCAGTGGAAGCGTGCTGGGCCCATAACCCAGAGGTCCGTGGATCGAAACCACGCTCTGCTAACGGATTTTGGGGCTATCCTCTCATCACACACACACACACACACACACACCAGTCCATGTGATGACAAGACAACAAATCTATCTGTCTCTCCCAATACACCCTCACGCCACTCTTGCTTGCTCATCGAGCCTACCGTGCGTAGTCCTCCTGTCTGCCTCCCTCCTCCCTCCGAATACAACACACGTGTGTCGTCCCTTCCTTCAACCACTCGTCAGTCG